GACCTGACGACACTGGAGGACAGGATGGTCAGGGGAGACATGATAACGACATATAAAATACTGCGTGGACTAGACGAGGTGGACAGAGACAGGATGTTCCAGAGATTTTACACAGAGGGATGTTAGGAAGTATTTCTTTAGTCATAGAGTTGTCAGGAAGTGGAATAGTCTGGGAAGTGACGTAGTGGAGGCAGGAACCATACATAGCTTTAAGACGAGGTATGATCAAGCTCATGGAGCAGGGAAAGAGACCCTAGTGGCGATCAGTGAAGAGGCGGGGCCAGGAGCTGAGTCTCGACACCTTCAACTACAAATAGGTGAGTACACACACACACACACACACACACACACACACACACACACACACACACACTCCCAGACAGGCCAAGTGTCTATCGACAAGTGCCTTTAACAACTAGTAACTAACACCCTCTCTCTCTCTGAGTATAAATACCTACATTATCATTCTGGTTTAAGCCAGGGAGACGAACTGGAGTAATGGGAGAGGTCTTGCATATTCTGTGTGTATGATGGGCTAGCTTGGCCTCTCTCCCTCCCCCCCCACCTTTCCCTCTCCCCCTCCCCCTGCAATTCCTTCACCCTCCTCTTCCCCTCTCATTGCTCTCTCTCTCTCTCTCTCTCTCTCTCTCTCTCTCTCTCTCTCTCTCTCTCTCTCTCTCTCTCTCTCTCTCTCTCTCTCTCTCACTCTCTCTCTCTCTCTCTCTCTCTTTTTTTTTTTTTTTTTTTTTTTTACACAGGGTTTGACAAGGTTAAGGATCCCTAGCTTTATTAACAAGCTATTTACAGGTTAAGGATTCCTAACTTTATTGGCAAGCTAAGAGCTCATTTGAAAGCATTTTTATTGTTATGAGACATACAAGTAGGGAACAGGATGAAGTTGGAGCCATCTGTGGGCCAGCATTTTCATTTGATCAACTGACTTTATCTCGTTGACATCATTATGCTGTACGAATGTGTTCCATACTCGAGTCATCCTGGGTATATATGATCTCAGATGGAGTGATGTTCTGGAGAAGGGTACAGCCAGAGTGAAGTTGCTGCTTTCTGCCCGTCTTGTGGCATAAAAGCTTGTTTTACGCTGTCCTCGAAGTGGATCCAAGTGTGGTACTTTGACAATATTGGCCTTGTACATAACAGTATGGCCACCCACATCCCTCCTATGTTGAAGACTCTGCTGAAATGACAGATCTATCCAGGATGGGTCCAGGCGAGAGATGAGACGTCTTGCTCTGTTCTCTGTTCTCTGTTCTCTCTCTCTCTCTCTCCTCTCTCTCTCTCTCTCTCTCTCTCTCCCTCTCTCTCTCCCTCTCTCTCTCTCTCTCTGTTTATATAAGTATTTACAAAGGTTTGAAACCTATCTGTCTAAGTATTTACAGAATATTGGAAGCTGCAGCATCACCAGTCACACGCCCACAAACATTCATTTGTTTTGTTATAATTTGTTCGCGCGCGCTTTGCGCGACTGTTTTTTTTCCTCTCCCGCGTAAAGTGGGAAAAGCCGAGGTGCGCAGGTGATGCTGGGGGGGGAGTGAGGGGGGGAGTGAGGGGGTGACCACCTGTGTCAGCACGACCATGTATATAGTGCTTATACATGAGGGTTTGGAGCACCGTTCGTTAGTGTGACGTATTATTAAAGTGTTTAGTGTGTGTGTGTGTGTGTGTGTGTGTATGTATTGTGTGTGTGTGTGTGTGTGTGTGTGTGTGTGTGTGTGTGTGTGTGTGTGTGTGTATGTATATGTATGTGTGTGTGTGTGTGTGTATGTATGTGTATGTGTGTGTGTGTGTGTATGTGTGTGTGTGTGTGTGTGTGTGTGTGTGTGTGTGTGTGTGTGTGTGTTGTGTGTGTGTGTGTGTGTGTGTGTGTGTGTGTGGACAGGGAAGCGTCTGGAGGACAGAGCAGTGCCACCAGCAGGGTCTGGAGGATAGGGAAGTGCCACCATCAGTGCCTGGAGGACAGGGCAGTGCCACCAACAGTACCTAGAGGACTGGGCAGTGCCACCAACAGTACCTGGAGGACAGGGCAGTGCCACCAGCAGGGTCTGGAGGACAGGGCAGTGCCACCAACAGTGCCTGGAGGACAGGGCAGTGCCACCAACAGTGTCTGGAGGACAGGGCAGTGTCATCAACAGTGCCTGGAGGACAATGCAGTGCCACAAACAGTGCCTGGAGGACAGGGCAGTGCCACAAACGGTGCCTGGAGGACTGCGCACTGTCACCAGCAGGGCCTGGAGGACAGGGCAGTGCCACCAACAGTGTCTGGAGGACAGGGCAGTGCCACCAACAGTGCCTGGAGGACAGGGCAGTGCCACCAACAGTGCCTGGAGGACAGGGCAGTGCCACCAACAGTGCCTGGAGGACGGGGCAGTGCCACCAACAGTGCCTGGAGGACAGGGCAGTACCACCAACAGTGCCTGGCTGCCGGATCACTGTTGCAGTTGCGAATAACAGTATAAATTAAGTGAGGTCAGGGGGCGGAATA